AAAAAACGCCAGAGAAGGAGAAAAATACTGGTTTAATGGAAGACATACGTTGCTATAATTGTCGGCTTTAAGATCCCGCCAAGTAAGCTAATGGTTTCCAGTACGATGCCTTTAATTCTCCAATTTGCTTTCCGTTCCATTACTTTTCAAGGCGACGTAGTTTAGAAATTAAACATCAGGTCAAAACACTGAATAATATATACTGACGCAAGAAGAAACACGTACGACTCACTTCTGAGAGGAACATGAAACTTAATATTTTGTTTCCACCGAAAAGTAATACGTAAAATGAAAACCGACGGAAATGATGACATGGATGAGAAAAGTTTAAATATTGGATATCAAACTTAATTACTCCGGTGTGACAATTTGTGCTCAATATTGCAATCTTTTATTGGCGTCACAGGATTAGAAGGCGACACTGAAAACTGTGAGCTATCTCAAGTTGCATGATTATCGAGCAATGATATCGTAAGAGGTACATCTCCAATCACAGCCAGCCATAGTTATTCGCCAACAATTCATATCCTGAAATTTTCGTGATCGTGTTGACAAGAGACAGTTTGACACAGTAGCTATAGAATTGAGTAGCACCAGCTATGGATAACACTCCGCCTATCTCCAATGGATCGGTGAATTCTACCGAAAATGAGTTCCTATCAAGATATGGCATCTTCACTGTTTCATCCATTGTCAAGCTCCTGATGTGTGTCATGGTGGCAGTTGTGTCTTTGGTTGGCAACATCATCGTCGTGTTTGTGGTTTTCACGACTAAGAAAATGCAGACAAACACTTACTTGCTTATAGTGAACATGAGTTTCAGTGATTTACTGTACACCGTTATCGCTATTCCGCCGCTAGTCACTGGGATTCTAGGACACCCTTTTTCCGTTCACGGTCATTTGGGGACGTTCATATGCAAATTTATGAACGGGATGGCTTTTGGCCTGATCGCCAGTTCCGTCTTGACATTAGCAGCCATTGCTTATGATCGCTTTTTTGCGATCGTATTTCCACTAAGGAAACTGAAGATTCAAACTTATCTCAAAAGGATAATTGTTTCAATCTGGATTTGTTCTACTTTGGTCATGTCGCCGATGTTGTACGCAATGCGTCTGTACGAAGATAACAATACCTCATACTGCTACGAAGACTGGTCGCCATATTTTGACACGGACAAGGCGTCACAGACATACACCGTTGCATTATTTATAGTCATTTACCTGATTCCATTCATAACCATGTTAATATTATACTCCTTTATTTCTCATTTCCTATGGTTCCGTAAAATCCCTGGCAATGGTAATGAAACTACTAGGCGGCGTGTAATAACCAGTCGACGCAAAGTGATTCGAATGCTTATAACCATCGTGTTGTGTTTCATTTTGTGCTGGCTTCCTCTACAAATAGTAACTTTTTCAGTTTACTTTGGCAATGTTGAACTGCCTTACGATTTTTTCTTTGTCAGTGAGTTCCTGATAAGAGCAAACGGGGCTATTAATCCCATGATATATGCTACATTTAACGAAAATTTTCGAAGTGGGTTCAAACGATTTCTTTGCTGTAAGGCCAACAGCCAATCTGCAGCGCGAACAAATTTACTTTCTCTCACGAGCTCCAAACATTCAAACCACAACAATGTAAAGAGAAAGTTGTTACATAACGAAACAAAAATTTAGTTTGGCGTAAATAATTCATAGTAAGAAAAAATTGCGAGATAAAAATCCGACCGAGTAGAAGGAAAAAGCTAATTACAAGGGAAACTTCAAGTACTGATTTCAAAATGTTGATCGTACAGTAATATAAATGAGAACGTCAATTTAAATATGAAAGCTACAAGAAATAACATGTAGTCACCTGTTAAGTTTTGCTGTTTATTAAGTTGGTTGCTGTGCTAATAATTAAACTGTTTAGCTTTAAGGTAGTCCAATTTAATATCTCTTCAACATGATGAAAAAAGCTAGAACTGAATTCACTTTTCTGGCATGAGTCCAACCTCTCTTTACGCAAACTTTCATAATACGTACACCTCTACGTTACAAAACAGTTCACTTGGTCCGAAGAACCCAGAACCGGTACACTTTTCCCCTCTTTGGATGGACATCTCTAATACGGATACTAAGTTTACACCTTGTTTCAACTCTCCCAGCTAACAAAATAAAATAATAAAGAGAGCTCAAATTTCGCAACAAAATAGCATATTTTTCCAGTTTTACATTTCAATAACAAACTCATATTGGTCTTGATCAATTCAGTAAATGGAAATGATTGTTCGTGTTTCCTTGCTGAAGATTAAAAACACGTACGTGCTCCTTGTATTTAATTCCAATTACTTGAGACATGCAAACCACAGAGTGAAATACTTCGATTTACATCAAATAACGGACACTAGTAATAACTTGAAATTAAAAAAAAAAATTAATAAGTAGTTAATTATTGCAGCTTATGTAATCCTAAATTTCATATCAAATTTAAATGTTAAGGGGAAAGTGGGTGATTAATTGACAAACCTTTCATACAGTGACGCAGGCAGTTGTATTCGCAGCAAAAGATTAAATACAAATTTAAAGAAATTGCGAGTCCACACACACCTAGAAACGCAAACTTAAAGTTAAGATCTTGAGCTCTGTATCGCCCTGTTGTACACACTTTTTTTAGTTAAGTAAAACTGGCTTACTTTGGTTTGAAGTTTTACATTGAAAAAAATCCCAAATAATGAGAAAAAACCAAAACCAAAAACAAAAGTGCATATTCTTTTCAGTGGTCTCCATACATTTCTTATAGCCCTAGTTGGGAGAATTCGACTGCACAACAGGATAACTCGAATCCTCCTATTTATCGTCAAAATTTTCTTAACTTCGAGGTTTGTTCGGCATTCCACTGAACTCAGCTCAACTCAAACGCGTGACATGTAATAGATCATGGCTACCTTAACTTTAAATCTTCTTCTTTTGGTTTCCTAGGCCAATTACTAAACAAAAACACCGAAGGTTCTTCGATCCGGGAATGTCAAGAATTGAACTGGGTTTAAACCGATAAAATTCGCCCCCAAATCATCTAGAGAAAACGTTTTCCTATTGGCGTATCGTCCCACCGGTCATCCTTAGAAGAAACTCCTTGATCAAACAAGTCCAAGGATACAGTAGGATACATAGGATAACCATACAACATGTTTCTGTGGTTCCACGTGATTAAATGCAACAACGGTGACTTATCTTTCGAGTAAATTGGTCTCTAAGCACAAAACAAATTGTTCCATTAGTGGTAAATTACACGTTTAATGCGTCATTAATGAGCTTATTAATTCCTGTTGTCAAAAGAAACCGTCATCAAACTTAGGCACTGCCCGTCAACGTAACCAATGATTTAAAGCCGGTCATCTTTGTCATTTTTTGATTGATTCAGTGATCGGCGACGCAGTCCCGTAAATCAGAGAAAGGTAAGAAAAAGCCAAAAGTCCTGATTGAATTAAATTGCTTACATTGACAAGACTAACAACAGCTCACTAGTTTGTAGCAATCAATCTGAAGAAGAGTGCCAGGAGCAAGAATGCTAGATTGACCGCTCGCTTGACCCTGAGGCTCTCATTAATAAGTCTGGCCATCTGCATGAGTTTGTTAATTTCCAGATCTCGGATCTTAGTTCATTTCTTGTTGTAAACTTCTTGAAATGAACATCATCTTCACCAATAAGAGTCGTAGATTTAGTCTTAAAAGATTCTATCGTGCTGCTTTCAGGGACCTGTTTTCAGGAACTGACTGCTTTGAGCCTTCCTATGTAATTCCTTTTTTTTTTTAATATTTAAGTAAGCTAGCACATTGTGCAAATCTAAAAAAGCACACACATCCACGCGGTGTGTATGAACAAGCAGAATAAACTTATTCGACAACACACTACACATGTCATGCATCAGCGAATGTAAAATCTAGTAAGTCTTGCTTTTTCTCTGAAATTTAAATCACTACTGTCGATGCCATACCCTTTTACTTCTCCATTGATGCAGTGTAGACACGTGTAGACAAAGCTGTTTGTAGTTTTCAGTTCTGGAGGTATTAGTATTTTGAATTATGCAAAATGTGAAAGATTCAATTATTAAAGCGTGCAGACAAAAACTTGTCGACTGACTACCTAGTCAATATAACTTCGCAACGTTTATACGAAAATGTAATTTTATACCCTCTCAGTCCTGGTTTCAAAATGGGGAAATTCACTCTAAAAACTGTGATTGCCGCGTTTATGTTGCTTCGAAGAATATCATGGTATAACATTTAAGGCGATGTCTCTTTCAACTGTTGAGGTAAATTGTCTTCGGCTGTCTGCTTTACAGTTTGCCTTCAGTTTTCATGAAAACTGTTAAAGATTCAATCATGGGGTAATTGATTCTCAGTTTATTTGTGATACCACTTTTCATTTGTGCTTGTGTATGTATTTGTGTCTAAGTTAAAGTGTAGCGTTGAAAAAATACGATCCAGAGCTAACCAACACATTAGAAACGCCTGGAGCAAAGTCGCGGGAAGCAGTAGCTACAATGAAACACTTGTAACAATGAAAACACATATCATGAAGCTAAGGAAACGGGCTAGAATTTGACGTCATAGCCAACAGGTTACTAACAGAGATATGTAGCGTAAGGAGCAAAGTCAGTAAACAGTGGTTTGAAAGCAACAATATGTTAACAGGGAGCATTTTAATTTTTTTTGTTGTGTCCCCAATTAGTTGTGAAAACTAAATACATTTACACATTAATAAAGCTTTTACTTACTTTACATGATCTGACCAAGCTCGAAGATGCTCCTGTATATTGCTTTGTTTAATTTAGTCGTTATTCGACAGTAAAATACCGAGACTCCTTCACGAGTTTACATTCATTTTAATTTTCTCAGAGCACTTTATTTTGAATAATGACCAAGAACAAAGAAGTGACAACTTTGAGTTTAACGTGACTGAATAATGATTGTGTGCGATATTGAGTTCTGGTCCCGGTCTAGTGGTCAATCCGTAAACAATGCTTAACCCGTTTACCCATCACATGCACGCAATCAGGTGAAATTATGTTTCTCATCTTGACGAAACAGTACGTATTCCAAACGAGAAACAATTTGAATTTGGCTCAGAAAATAAGGGTGCCTTTTTTCACCAATCACATCCGAAGAGGATGGCAGCTATATCTACATTCTACCTCTAAGCGTTGAACATTCAACGGTTTATATCTCGAGAGTAAATTTTCAAACTTTGCAAGCACAACGGTCAACCGAAATTCAGAGAAGAAGACCAACTAACTTGAATAAGCGAGGAAAAATAGGAGAATATTTGTACAGACGGTAAGGTAACTAACAAAATGAGATGACTTGTACTGTTGGGTTGCTGCTGCCTGAAGAGTATTAGATCATCGATTAAATTAAGCAGAGGACAAAAGAGAAGTTTTAACGCAAAGTCACGAGTCTAAGTTTCTGTCGTTTGAGGAAATGATAGCTACAGCAGTGCTAATTGACCAAGTGGATGTGATTTAAATTTGAAAGCTACAAGAAATAACATGTAGTCACCCGTTAAGTTTTGCTGTTTATTAAGTTGGTTGCTATGTTAATAAACTGTTTAGCTTATAGATAGTAATCCAATTTGATATCACTTCAACATAATGAAAAAAGCTAGAATTGAATTCACTTTTCTGGCGTGAGTCAAACCTCTCTTTACGGGCAATGTCATAATACGCACACCTCTATGTTACAAAACAGTTCACGTGGTCCCGAAGAACCCAGAACCGGTACACTTTTCCCCGCTATGGTATGGACATCTCTAATACGGGTACTAAGTCTACACCTTGTTTCAACTCTCCTAGCTAACAAAATAAAATAATAAAGAGAGCCCAAGATTAACGACAGAATAGCTCTACCTCGATCTTCTCGAGTTTCACATTCCAATAACAAACATAATATTGATCAATTCAGTAAATGGAAATAGTTGCTCGTTTTTCCTTGAAGATTCAAACAGAATAGTAATAGATCGTGATAGATCATAGTAATAGAACATAGCTACCTTAATTTTAAATCTTCTTCTTTTGATTTCCTAGGCCAATTACTAAACAAAAACACTGAAGGTTCTTCGATCCGGGAATGTCAAGAATTGAACTATGTTTAAACCGATAAAATTCGTCCTTAAATCATCTATAGAAAGCGTTTTCCTATTAGCGTATGGTCCCACCAGTCGTCTTTAGAAGAAACTCCTTGATCAAACAAGTCCAAGGATACAATAGGATACATAGGATAACCATACAACATGTTTCTGTGGTTCCACGTGATTAAATGCAACAACGGTTACCTATCTTTCGAGTAAATTGGTCGCCAAGCACAACACAAACTGTTCCATTAGTAGTAAATTGCACGTTTAATGCGTCATTAATGAGTTTATCAATTCCTGTTGTCAATAGAAACTGTCATCAGACTTAGGCACTGCCTGTCAACGTAACTAATGATTTAAAGCCGGCTACCTTTGTCAGTCTTTGACTGATTCAGTGATCGGCGACGCAGTCCCGTAAATCAGAGAAAGGTAAGAAAAAGTCAGAAGTCCTGATTGAATTAAATTGCTTACATTAACAAGACTAACAACAGCTCACTAGTTTGTAGCAATCAGTCTGAAGAAGAGTGCCAGGAGCAAGAATGCTAGATTGACCGCTCGCTTGACCCCGAGGCTCTCATTAATAAGTCTGGCCATCTGCATGAGTTTGTTAATTTCCAGATCTCGGATCTTAGTTCATTTCTTGTTGTAAACTTCTTAAAATGAACATCATCTTTACCAATAAGAGTCGTAGATTTAGTCTTAAAAGATTCTATCGTGCTGCTTTCAGGGACCTGTTTTCAGGAACTGACTGCTTTGAGCCTTCCTATGTAATTCCTTTTTTTTTTTAATATTTAAGTAAGCTAGCACATTGTGCAAATCTAAAAAAGCACACACATCCACGCGGTGTGTATGAACAAGCAGAATAAACTTATTCGACAACACACTACACATGTCATGCATCAGCGAATGTAAAATCTAGTAAGTCTTGCTTTTTCTCTGAAATTTAAATCACTACTGTCGATGCCATACCCTTTTACTTCTCCATTGATGCAGTGTAGACACGTGTAGACAAAGCTGTTTGTAGTTTTCAGTTCTGGAGGTATTAGTATTTTGAATTATGCAAAATGTGAAAGATTCAATTATTAAAGCGTGCAGACAAAAACTTGTCGACTGACTACCTAGTCAATATAACTTCGCAACGTTTATACGAAAATGTAATTTTATACCCTCTCAGTCCTGGTTTCAAAATGGGGAAATTCACTCTAAAAACTGTGATTGCCGCGTTTATGTTGCTTCGAAGAATATCATGGTATAACATTTAAGGCGATGTCTCTTTCAACTGTTGAGGTAAATTGTCTTCGGCTGTCTGCTTTACAGTTTGCCTTCAGTTTTCATGAAAACTGTTAAAGATTCAATCATGGGGTAATTGATTCTCAGTTTATTTGTGATACCACTTTTCATTTGTGCTTGTGTATGTATTTGTGTCTAAGTTAAAGTGTAGCGTTGAAAAAATACGATCCAGAGCTAACCAACACATTAGAAACGCCTGGAGCAAAGTCGCGGGAAGCAGTAGCTACAATGAAACACTTGTAACAATGAAAACACATATCATGAAGCTAAGGAAACGGGCTAGAATTTGACGTCATAGCCAACAGGTTACTAACAGAGATATGTAGCGTAAGGAGCAAAGTCAGTAAACAGTGGTTTGAAAGCAACAATATGTTAACAGGGAGCATTTTAATTTTTTTTGTTGTGTCCCCAATTAGTTGTGAAAACTAAATACATTTACACATTAATAAAGCTTTTACTTACTTTACATGATCTGACCAAGCTCGAAGATGCTCCTGTATATTGCTTTGTTTAATTTAGTCGTTATTCGACAGTAAAATACCGAGACTCCTTCACGAGTTTACATTCATTTTAATTTTCTCAGAGCACTTTATTTTGAATAATGACCAAGAACAAAGAAGTGACAACTTTGAGTTTAACGTGACTGAATAATGATTGTGTGCGATATTGAGTTCTGGTCCCGGTCCAGTGGTCAATCCGTAAACAATGCTTAACCCGTTTACCCATCACATGCACGCAATCAGGTGAAATTATGTTTCTCATCTTGACGAAACAGTACGTATTCCAAACGAGAAACAATTTGAATTTGGCTCAGAAAATAAGGGTGCCTTTTTTCACCAATCACATCCGAAGAGGATGGCAGCTATATCTACATTCTACCTCTAAGCGTTGAACATTCAACGGTTTATATCTCGAGAGTAAATTTTCAAACTTTGCAAGCACAACGGTCAACCGAAATTCAGAGAAGAAGACCAACTAACTTGAATAAGCGAGGAAAAATAGGAGAATATTTGTACAGACGGTAAGGTAACTAACAAAATGAGATGACTTGTACTGTTGGGTTGCTGCTGCCTGAAGAGTATTAGATCATCGATTAAATTAAGCAGAGGACAAAAGAGAAGTTTTAACGCAAAGTCACGAGTCTAAGTTTCTGTCGTTTGAGGAAATGATAGTTACAGCAGTGCTAATTGACCAAGTGGATGTGATTTAAATTTGAAAGCTACAAGAAATAACATGTAGTCACCCGTTAAGTTTTGCTGTTTATTAAGTTGGTTGCTATGTTAATAAACTGTTTAGCTTATAGATAGTAATCCAATTTGATATCACTTCAACATAATGAAAAAAGCTAGAATTGAATTCACTTTTCTGGCGTGAGTCAAACCTCTCTTTACGGGCAATGTCATAATACGCACACCTCTATGTTACAAAACAGTTCACGTGGTCCCGAAGAACCCAGAACCGGTACACTTTTCCCCGCTATGGTATGGACATCTCTAATACGGGTACTAAGTCTACACCTTGTTTCAACTCTCCTAGCTAACAAAATAAAATAATAAAGAGAGCCCAAGATTAACGACAGAATAGCTCTACCTCGATCTTCTCGAGTTTCACATTCCAATAACAAACATAATATTGATCAATTCAGTAAATGGAAATAGTTGCTCGTTTTTCCTTGAAGATTCAAACAGAATAGTAATAGATCGTGATAGATCATAGTAATAGAACATAGCTACCTTAATTTTAAATCTTCTTCTTTTGATTTCCTAGGCCAATTACTAAACAAAAACACTGAAGGTTCTTCGATCCGGGAATGTCAAGAATTGAACTATGTTTAAACCGATAAAATTCGTCCTTAAATCATCTATAGAAAGCGTTTTCCTATTAGCGTATGGTCCCACCAGTCGTCTTTAGAAGAAACTCCTTGATCAAACAAGTCCAAGGATACAATAGGATACATAGGATAACCATACAACATGTTTCTGTGGTTCCACGTGATTAAATGCAACAACGGTTACCTATCTTTCGAGTAAATTGGTCGCCAAGCACAACACAAACTGTTCCATTAGTAGTAAATTGCACGTTTAATGCGTCATTAATGAGTTTATCAATTCCTGTTGTCAATAGAAACTGTCATCAGACTTAGGCACTGCCTGTCAACGTAACTAATGATTTAAAGCCGGCTACCTTTGTCAGTCTTTGACTGATTCAGTGATCGGCGACGCAGTCCCGTAAATCAGAGAAAGGTAAGAAAAAGTCAGAAGTCCTGATTGAATTAAATTGCTTACATTAACAAGACTAACAACAGCTCACTAGTTTGTAGCAATCAGTCTGAAGAAGAGTGCCAGGAGCAAGAATGCTAGATTGACCGCTCGCTTGACCCCGAGGCTCTCATTAATAAGTCTGGCCATCNCAAAAACAAAAGTGCATATTCTTTTCAGTGGTCTCCATACATTTCTTATAGCCCTAGTTGGGAGAATTCGACTGCACAACAGGATAACTCGAATCCTCCTATTTATCGTCAAAATTTTCTTAACTTCGAGGTTTGTTCGGCATTCCACTGAACTCAGCTAAACTCAAACGCGTGACATGTAATAGATCATGGCTACCTTAACTTTAAATCTTCTTCTTTTGGTTTCCTAGGCCAATTACTAAACAAAAACACCGAAGGTTCTTCGATCCGGGAATGTCAAGAATTGAACTGGGTTTAAACCGATAAAATTCGCCCCCAAATCATCTAGAGAAAACGTTTTCCTATTGGCGTATCGTCCCACCGGTCATCCTTAGAAGAAACTCCTTGATCAAACAAGTCCAAGGATACAGTAGGATACATAGGATAACCATACAACATGTTTCTGTGGTTCCACGTGATTAAATGCAACAACGGTGACTTATCTTTCGAGTAAATTGGTCTCTAAGCACAAAACAAATTGTTCCATTAGTGGTAAATTACACGTTTAATGCGTCATTAATGAGCTTATTAATTCCTGTTGTCAAAAGAAACCGTCATCAAACTTAGGCACTGCCCGTCAACGTAACCAATGATTTAAAGCCGGTCATCTTTGTCATTTTTTGATTGATTCAGTGATCGGCGACGCAGTCCCGTAAATCAGAGAAAGGTAAGAAAAAGCCAAAAGTCCTGATTGAATTAAATTGCTTACATTGACAAGACTAACAACAGCTCACTAGTTTGTAGCAATCAATCTGAAGAAGAGTGCCAGGAGCAAGAATGCTAGATTGACCGCTTGCTTGACCCTGAGGCTCTCATTAATAAGTCTGGCCATCTGCATGAGTTTGTTAATTTCCAGATCTCGGATCTTAGTTCATTTCTTGTTGTAAACTTCTTGAAATGAACATCATCTTCACCAATAAGAGTCGTAGATTTAGTCTTAAAAGATTCTATCGTGCTGCTTTCAGGGACCTGTTTTCAGGAACTGACTGCTTTGAGCCTTCCTATGTAATTCCTTTTTTTTTTTAATATTTAAGTAGGCTAGCACATTGTGCAAATCTAAAAAAGCACACACATCCACGCGGTGTGTATGAACAAGCAGAATAAACTTATTCGACAACACACTACACATGTCATGCATCAGCGAATGTAAAATCTAGTAAGTCTTGCTTTTTCTCTGAAATTTAAATCACTACTGTCGATGCCATACCCTTTCACTTCTCCATTGATGCAGTGTAGACACGTGTAGACAAAGCTGTTTGTAGTTTTCAGTTCTGGAGGTATTAGTATTTTGAATTATGCAAAATGTGAAAGATTCAATTATTAAAGCGTGCAGACAAAAACTTGTCGACTGACTACCTAGTCAATATAACTTCGCAACGTTTATACGAAAATGTAATTTTATACCCTCTCAGTCCTGGTTTCAAAATGGGGAAATTCACTCTAAAAACTGTGATTGCCGCGTTTATGTTGCTTCGAAGAATATCATGGTATAACATTTAAGGCGATGTCTCTTTCAACTGTTGAGGTAAATTGTCTTCGGCTGTCTGCTTTACAGTTTGCCTTCAGTTTTCATGAAAACTGTTAAAGATTCAATCATGGGGTAATTGATTCTCAGTTTATTTGTGATACCACTTTTCATTTGTGCTTGTGTATGTATTTGTGTCTAAGTTAAAGTGTGCGTTGAAAAAATACGATCCAGAGCTAACCAGCACATTATAAACGCCTGGAGCAAAGTCGCGGGAAGCAGTAGCTACAATGAAACACTTGTAACAATGAAAACACATATCATGAAGCTAAGGAAACGGGCTAGAATTTGACGTCATAGCCAACAGGTTACTAACAGAGATATGTAGTCTAAGGAGCAAAGTCAGTAAACAGTGGTTTGAAAGCAACAATATGTTAACATGGAGCATGATCTGATCTAGTTCTTGTGGAGAATTCTGTTTTATTTAGTCGTTATTTGACAGTAAAATACCGAGACCCCTTCACGAGTTTATATTAATTTTAATTTTCTCAGAGCACTTTATTTTGAATAATGACCAAGAACAAAGAAGTGACAACTTTGAGTTTAACGTGACTGAATAATGATTGTGCGCGATATTGAGTTCTGGTCCCGGTCTAGTGGTCAATCCGTAAACAATGCTTAACCCGTTTACTCATCACATGCCATCAGGTGAAATTGTGTTTCTCATCTTGACAAAACAGTACGTATTCCAAACGAGAAACAATTTGTATTTGGCTCAGAAAACAAGGGTGCCTTTTTTCACCAATCACATCCGAAGAGGATGGCAGCTATATCTGCATTCTACCTCTAGGCGTTGAACATTTAACTGTTTATGCCTCGAGAGTAAAATTTCAAACTTTGTAAGCACAACGGTCAACCGAAATTCGGAGAAGAAGACGAACTTGAATAAGCGAGGAAAATAGGAGAATATTTGTACAGACAGTAAGGTAACTATCACAATGAAATGACTTGTATTGTTGGGTTGTTGCTGCCTGAAGAGTATTAGATAATCGATTGAATTAAGCATAGGGCAAAAGTGAAGTTTTAACGCGATGTCACGAGTCTAAGTTTCTGTCATTTAAGGAAATTATAGCTACAGCAGTGCTAATTGATCAAGTGGATGTGATGTGGTATAAAGAAAGTTCACACAAGAGTCAGTCGGGGAGACAGTGAATTTGATTTTATCGAGTCGGCAGCCAGAGTACTTGACAGCATGGCGCCAAGTTTTTCTTGCAAATACTGACTGCTGCTTATATAAGAATAAGGAACTTTTCGCGTCCCCAATATTTCTTCTCTCAAACATTTTTTAATTCGCCGTTAACGCTAGAAATTCAGTTTCTTTTGCCAACGATGCAAAACAATTGTATGAGAACATCTGCACGCGGGCCCTGCAAATCTTATCGTGAGAATCAGCATGAACTTTCTAGATATTATTCAGTTGCATGACAGTTAAACAATAAGTCACCCAGCAATGAATTCATTGTGAAGCGCGCAAGCAACCGTTCAAGAAAGTAAACATGACGTCTGTCTTATGCTTCGAAGAATGTTAATTTTCTTTCGTCGACAAGGAAACTTTAATTGCTTTTATATTGCAAAAAGAAAGTTAATTTGTAGATATGCCTTGCGCTTGCTGCGCCTTTTCTTAGTTTACACTCGGTTTGTTTCTTTCACATGCCTTTAAAGTCATCATGAACGAATGAATAGCACAATTTTTCAAAACTTGGCAATGAAAATTTATTTCTACAGGAGATGGATAACTTTGACAGTCGTCAGGATATTCGTGGACCTGGAACAAGCCTTAGTTCTATAATGGGGTTCAGTACTCCAGAAAGTGATTTCTCTCTTCCATTCGAGGATAACTTGGCTCATCTACTTGATGGCTATTTGACTAATGAGAACAGAGTGTTCGATAACAACGCAAGTAGAAACGCTGGAAGACTGGATTCTATAGAAGATGTCATCAAGGAACTGAAGAAATTAAAGATAAACAAGCTTCGACAATGTCAACAGGAAGAACAGGAAGAGATTCGGTCGTTGACACCACTCCACGTTGCAGCGGCGATGGGTGATGCACCCGCCGTTCGAAGGCTGGTGATTGAAAGTGACTGTGATGTAAATGCAGTTTCAGTCGGACAGCGGACACCTCTAATGATGGCATGCTCCTCAGGCCATTCGGATACCATTCGTGCTTTGGTTCATCTAGGTGCAAACGTGAACGCAAGCAGTGAAAGTGGAATGACACCTTTGATGTTTGCCTCTGTAAATGACGATAACAACGCAATTCGTCTTCTTGCTAAAAGAGGGGCGAGAGCTAATCAGAAAAGCCTCATGGGTCAGACAGCTTTGCATTATTCTGCATCTAATGGTAGTGCAAACGCTGTACGGGAGCTTTTAAAGCGAGGAAGTGATCTGGAGACGAGGACAAACGAGGGATGTTCACCACTGCATTTAGCAGTTTTAAATGGACAACAAAACACGTTTGAAGAATTAGTGGAAAGTGGGAGTGATCTCGAGGCAAGAGACCAGTATGGATACACACCGATGCATTATTCGGTTTTCTCTGGAAAGGCTCACATAGCAAAGTCTCTTCTTAGCAAGCAAGCAGACGTCAATGCAAAAGACAACAATGACTTTGCTCCGATACATTTTGCAGCACAGACAAACTGCCTTGAAGTCGGTAAGGAACTCATAAAACATGGGACCAAAGTAAATGCTCAGGCCAAGGATGGGATCACGCCTTTGATGATTGCAGCATATCATGATAACGTTCAAGTCGGAAGTTTGCTTGTAAGCCATGGTGCAAAACGTAATGCAAAGCAGCACACTGGGAAAACAGCTCTCCATTTTGCCGCACTTAAGGGTAATACCATGTCCATCAAGTTTCTCATCGATAAGGGTGCCGATGTTGATGCAGCGGACAAAAGTGGTAACACACCATTGCATCGCGCAGCTCAGCATGGGCAACAAGAAACTCTCAAGTTACTCCTGCATGCAGGTTGTATGGCAAATGAGAGGAATAATAAAAAGTTGACACCGCTGATGATTGCTTCAAATAACGGCCAACTGAAATGCTGCAAATATCTCCTTAAGGCTGGTGCAGATTTACATCTGTGTCACCAGGCAACTGGAACTACCTGTCTGCATTTTGCATCCGAAAGAGGTCATTCCCAAGTTGTTAATTTCCTGTTCGAAAATGGCGCTGATGCATCTGCAAAAGACAAATGGGGCCTCACCGCACTGCACAGGGCTTCCAAAAATGGACACCTGGAAACAGTCGAATGTTTGGTGTTAGGCGGAAGCGATCTGAACTGTAAAGACAGTTGGGGTTACACGCCGTTGCATCGCTCATCCGAAAATGGTCATGCAAGCACAACGACATTTCTTGTCAATCACGGGTCTGTGGTCTCTGCTACTGACAAATGGCACTTTACGCCGCTTCATCGAGGCGCTGGTAATGGTCACGTCAACGTTGTGCGAATCTTGTTACTATACGACAGCGAAATACAAGCGAAAGATCTTTGGGGATACACCCCGCTTCATCGTGCTGCAGAAAGAGGACATACAGATACCGCCAGAGTTTTAATTAGAAGCGGAAGTGACGTTCGTGCCATTGATTTTCAAGGTTTCACTCCACTACACAGGGCTGCACAGAATGGGCACAAAGAAACTGCCCAACTTCTTCTTCAAGAGGGAAGTGATATTAAAGCCAGGACACACGTTTTAATGTTGTCCTCGAGTGTGAAAGCTTCACCAGCTTGCTCGACAATTGACGGCGTCCCCAATGAAGGTTACAATAAAAACGGTCATACGTCGCTCCATTTAGCTTCACAGAACGGACATATGGAAACAATCGAATTACTACTGAGAGATGGTGCTGATCTCCATGCTCTTGATTACTGGAACTACTCTCCATTACATAGAGCATCTGAAAATGGTCACACTTCTGTTGTGGAATATTTGGTTCTACAAGGAAGCAACATTCACCACAGAGACAAATGGGCAAACACTGCTCTACATCGAGCGGCACAAAATGGACATACAAGTACTGTTGAATTATTGCTGGCCCATGGCGCAAATTCACACACAGCGGACCAAACAGGGCTTACAGCCCTACATTGTGCTGCCAAATTTGGCCACAGAGACACAGTTCAAGCTCTGATAGTGCACGGAGGGAGTAACATTCACACTAAAGATCAATGGGGAGATACACCTTTGCACCGTGCTGCTCAGAATGGCCACACTGAGGTCGTACAATATCTTATTCGGCAAGGAAGTGACTTGAATGCGTTGAATAAGGAGAAAGCGACTTCACTGATACTCAGCGCGTACGGGGGCTTCGTAGATACTTGTCGTGTTTTGATTGACAATGGCAGCACCATCAATGATGCAATGAACAAAGGACACACAGCTCTTCATCTCGCTGCCCAAAATGGCCACCCGGACACATGCAAACTTTTAGCAACAAACGGAGGAGATGTACATGCTAAAGATTTTTGGGGATACACACCGTTACATAGAGCTGCTCACAACAACCATAAGGACGCGATCGAGGCTTTGTTGACGCACGGTAGTGATGTTACATCAGCTGATAAGTTTGAGTTTACTGCCCTACAACGCGCGGCGCAAAGAGGTCATAGAGAGTCCATGGAACTTCTTACATCACATGCAGTTGTTAAGATGAGGAGGTACAGCTCCTTTGACCCTCCTAAAGACAGACATGTTCACTTTGAGAAAGCGGATTCGGACTGTAACACTTGCCGTATGATGGGTCTCTATACAATCCCAGAAGTCACTGATGAGGAACAGTCTCGTGGAAGGATCAACCGACATAGATTTCAAACAATGTAGTGTTATTATCGCTGAACACTTCAGAAATTATTCACTGTAAAAACCAGACTGCTACGCGTGAACGTAAAAGATAAATACCAAGCAATTCATTGAAAGTCGTTTCCTGAACTGGACACGTGATAGAAAAACGCTATGTATTAATCAAATGGGAGTGCGGTTAATTACATCAAAAATGCCTATTAATTTATACATTAGTATTGTCTCTTTTTGTACTTTACCATTTCAATAAATCAAATAAAAAGCTTCACAGCTGTGAGGTATCATGAAGCAAGTCGCAGTCTAGGAACAGCTTTGAAAGTAGCTTTTAGCTTATTCTTAAAACTTAAACAATCATTTGGAAGCAAACTTTCTTCGATCTAAAAGAGATTACAACTTCGGAGGGGTTCTAGTAAGACTGACCGCCAATAATAAAACTGACTACCACTGTTCTACATTGAAGTTAGAATGTCTTAATTTGGAAAGCAACAACAAAGAAAAAACGATCTCCAAGTTATACTGACAAATTGTAAATAAACAGCAGGTTAATCCCAGCGCTCTGGGAACTATATACAAATGGGAATGTCTAGGGAGTGGAGTTGACAGGGAGGTTGAACGGCACAAGGCACTGCCTAAAAAGGGGTGGTGGGTGGGGAGACGGCGGCGGAGGGAGGGGGG